TATATAATACATATACATATGCATATATATACTTATATATATATACACACATATATATATTCCCAAATATATTTTAATGTATTAAAATAGATTAAAAATATACATATAAAAGATCTATTTGGCTAAATTACATTTGAAAACATTTGATTTTATGTAACACACTCACTGAAGGAAAAATAGGCTGCTCTTAATATACCTGGAAATCTTGGCTACAAGAAGCAATGAGGGTCACAACAGTAACTGAAGAGCTGGAAAATTCTTCATCGTATTATTTCACTTGTTTAATCTTGAGTGAACATATTTGATGAAGGCCAATTCTGCCACTATAAATCTGAATACGGGAAAATCTAAGGACATACAACTTTTCTGAATATTTTGGATTTGTGTTAGTTTCGAGGGTGCTGACTTTGGCCCATGTATGCAAATAAGTGTGTGTTCTTCAGCTAAGAGAGATCTTCAGAAGCCTCGGTTTGCTTCAGTCATCTTGATTTCAGTGATTTTGATTCTTTGTGAAAAACAAGCAGGAGGGGATCTTAAATATTTAAAAATAACAAGAATCAGGTGTTTTGAACTTGTTAATAAGGTGACACTTTAATATTTTAGTCTCATGTTATCAGAGGACTGTCAGTGCCAAAATACGATCTGCAGACTTCTGCTTTATACCAGGTCATGAAATAAGCTAAAACCCATTTGTAATTTTCTGTGATGAATATTAAATTGGAAAAATTAGAATGTTTCACTTATATAGTTTTGGAACAAAATATTCTTGCTTTCAATTTTGAAACTGACATTTCATTTTAATCAAAATGAGTGAGAGAAATTATAAAAACATTAGATAAACTGAAAGCAAAAGGAACAAAAGAACAAGTGAAACATTTTGGATTGACACCAATTTTTTTTTTCTGTTTTACCAGAGATATGAAAAAAAGCTGTTTTATTTTAACCTAAACATACATATATATATACACACACATGCGCATATATATATAGATGTAACCTATGTATATACATAACCTAAACATATATATATATATTTGTCATAAATCAGAAATGTCACTATTGCCCCATCTCTATGGCTGCCCTTGTTGTCAGGCTGTTTGCTGGGTGTTGAGAATGTGTTGATAATAGTTGCAGAAAGGCAGGAGGTAAAAAGCAGGAACTGTGGGTTCACATTAATGAATTCTGTACCTTTTACAGATCTTTACCCCTTGTACAGAAAAGCAATTCAACTCTATGTCCAAGTTAGTTAGAAATTCACTTTACGCTCTGAATTGCCAGGTATGACCTTCTTGCTTGTCTCCTATCTGGACCCTATCCTGAAGTTAGACAACTTCCACCATAAAGTCAGTGGAGTCCAAACCACCAACAACGTTGTTTTTGCTGAGCATTTCTAAACTTCCTAAATTGGCTGCCCAAGTTAAGTATTTAAATACCCATTAAGCATTCAGAAAGAGTGCTCTCAAAGGTGCAAGGCATCTGCAGCTCCATCTTCTGTCAACAGGAGGTTCAGATGCTTACATTTTTTCAAAAATCAAGCCTCTCCTTAAGCTAGGAAATATTGGTGGAGATTAGGTAGCCATCAGCAGGTGCTACCATTCAGGAGCTGTATTATTTTTCCAACTTCAATCGCAGATGCAGGAAGGGTGCACGTCTACATGGACGTGGAAAATGCAGCTGTGAGGAGCCAACTGAAATGAGATCTGGTTTTGCAAATGCCGAAGCTCAACACACAGACAGGCAGAGTTTATGCTGAAGAACATCGATTGCTGTTCTTTCACTGGCACGTGGAGATCACTTAAAAGAATACCTGTCTGGTTTTTTTTTTGCTTGGTGCTTTAAGATACATATACCGCTAAGTGTTAAAATACAGTTTGCTAGATGGCATCACCAGGACCCATGCCTTTGGCAACAAAAACCTAAGCGCAGTACTATTACCATATGTAAAGCCCGAATGCTGGTCAGACACAAATAATGTAAAATCACCTTCATTCTGTAGGCTAGAATTCTCTCACGCATGTGCCAAATGGCTGATTTCTGTAGCAAAACCTCGCTCTTTGGTGGGATCACCGGGGTGCCTGGGTGATCTGGTTCACCAGCGGCAGGGGAAGGATGCCGGGACAGGGAGCCTGCCGCTGCTCTCGCTGGCTGCCAAGACCCGTGGGTGTCACCAGCACTTACTGGGAGGGGAGCCAGGAGATGAAAAACAAATCAAAGACCATAATAAGAAAATACCTTTCCCTTAGCAATTAGCGCACAAGATTTGCCTCTCGACTCCTTCACCTAAAATGTATTTTTTAACAACTGTGGTTTAAAAAGGAGAAAGCAAACCCTGTATTTTAAGAAGCAATTATAGAGGGGTCATCACAGAGTCTGGTATCACCTTTCCTGTGCTCTGTGATGGGAGGAATCACTGCACAGCCTCTTCCCCAACTTCTCTTCAAAAACAGTCACACGCTTGATGGAATATGGTTTTAAAAAGCAGCCTGTGACTTCTCAGGCAAAATTTCCAGCCCCAATTTTAAAGGTGCTAATAAACATGGAAGAGCCTGGTATTACAGAGTTTTTCAATAAATCACCTGAAATAAAGCCCAAGTTATTTGTCTAAGTGGCAGTAAATGTAGCAATATATTTAAATCGAAGAAGCTTTGCATTATTTTGAGACATCGACAGAAAGCCATACCAGTGAATCCCATTGAGGCACCTTCTCTTGATTGCCTGCGGAGCCCATCTTCATCTCGGAAATCGATGTAAACAAGGTCTATTGCTTGAAGGCCAAATGCCTTTGCTGTGACTATTATTTTTTGCCTGGCATATAGAATATCCTGAGTTTCCTTACTGCTTGTTGCACCTATGAAATCAATGAAAACAAAGAAAAGCTGACAGGACTGTTTCAAACCTTTGCATTTTAAATATTTCGTATGGTAAAAAAAAAAAAAAAAAAGGAAGTTTGAGATTTCATTTAACCAATTTAGAAAACAAAAGAGGGATGCAAGGCTATATGGTCAAAATGATACTCTTCGGAGGGAAAAAAAGATGTTTCAGCAAAAAAAAAACCAACAAACCCCAAACTCTCTCTTTAAACACTAGCTTATAGAATTCAGATTTTCATTTAGTTCAAATCAGACGTTGTAAGCCCAAAGTCAGTGGAAGCTTTCGCTGGTAAGGACTGCTGACTTGGGACTAACAGGAAGTAATTATTTGATTATATTATTTATTGTATACACAGTCAGAAGCATTACAGCAAGAGAAGGTTTACACAAATTGATATACTGGCTTCAAGTAAATAGTTAAAAAATTCACACTGAGAATAGAATTGCACTTTCCTTGGTTCTGATTCTCGTCACAACTGATGTCCTAAGATGAATATTTAAGCTTTAGTATTTCAATGAAAAAATGATGGTAGATGACTTCTGAGAAGAAGCAAAAGTATTCACAAGACTTCATGTGCTCGCAGGCCACCAGCTAAGCAATATGGTCATGTGAAGGCTGGTGTGAAAAAATAATAATATTAGTATGTTGCCTTTCCTTAGGGTCACTAAGTAGACATAGATTTCCAGTCTGTAAGGAATATTTTTTAGATTAACGTACTTACTTTAAATTTAAATATTGATAGCTCTGCATGTTTCTCTTTAAAATGAATCAGATTAATAAGAAGCTAAGTGCCCTCCCATAAAAGAAATTGTGAAATACTTTTTATTTTTGAGAAAGGCTAATAGTATGTTCACATGAACACGTGGCTGTATTGATATAGGACATAATTAAAGTAAATTTATGAAAGCAAAATATAGCAGGAGAGAATCTGTGCATGACGTCAAAAGTGTGACTGATAATTGTCTGTAAAACAGTAATGAAGCAGACACCAGATTTTCAGGACTTTAAATGTGGTTCTTAAAAGTGTGTGCAAGTCTCTTAGGGATGTAATATTTTTAAATAATTTCAGTGACTCAGTGTTTTGTTTTGTTTTGTTTTTTTTCATTAAATTTTAGTACTGCATGGCAAGAAGCATGATAAAGTGTTTGTGCCCTATAACACATTTTAATTTGCCAGTGATACATACTGCACTGAAAAAAACCCCCAAGAAAAGAAGGAGGAAAATGAAAATGTAAACCAGAATAAAGTGTTGACATTGCTTCAATTACTGCTGTTGGCCATAAATCACATTGGGCTTCTCTAATGCAAATGCCGTGCGTTAATGTTTATAATAAGCACACAGGTAGCCACCTATGCTGGCACGGAAATCCTCTCCTCCAAAGACGACCGCGTCCAAATGAAAGCCAACCCGGGATCCTGTTCTCAGTGCTTCTTCACAGACAGCCTTCAAATGAGAACAGAGTATTAATTTCTACAGAAAAGCAGGACACAGAGAGACTACAGAGGGTATTGCAGCAGCTCAGGGTTACCAAAATCCTTCAGCTAAAATTGCTTCTATTAAGCAAAGCCATTGCAGGTGCTCGGCTGTGCACAGCGCTTTAAAATGACTCAGCAAAAGAGAAAACATTATCTTTCACTAAGCACCTCAATGCCTAGACTGTGTAAATACAGGACATCGTCGCAGATTCCCTACCTTCTTGTTGATGTAATGCGCTGAGTATTACCGTGATCACTACTCCAGATATATATGTAATGACATGAAACAAAACATTTGTCAAATGCTACTTAAAGGTATTGAATTTGATTGGTTTTTGCATGTAATATAACTGCATGAGAAACATAAAGATCAGAATCTCTTTTATCAAATAAATAATATGAACGCTTTAAAACAGGATATAGGATATAAGAATTGTTAATATGATTCCCGATTTAAAGGGTTCAGCCACATAGAACTAAAAACTAGCCAAGGAATTTAAAAATGCAACAAGTGCTGCAGAAAAGTATTAGCAAAAAAAAGCAAGAAAAATGTTGCTGCTGTAGCTACTCTCTGAAGAAGCACATTTGCAAAATATTACTATTTAATATTCATATTTGGATAATAATTAATATTTGTTAACGCTAAGGTACATGGAGAGAGATAGATGTAATTACCAGGTCTACTACTGGGTGTTCTTCTACAGCAGCTGGTGGAACAAGAAATTATTCTTTAAAAGCGTACTTTAAAAGGCAACTCTCCTGCCAAACACCAGGAATTGCAGTGTTAAAAATTCCCCTATAAAGTCCTGCAAGTGAGGGAAAACCTCAGCTGTCTGAAAATACGATTTAAGTCTGGTTACGCACACTGGACAGGAGCATGTCTATTTGGTTACTGCTGTATTACATTCCCAGATAACGTTGGCGTGTGTTGTGAGATAAAAGGCTGTATGAAACGAGCAGGCTGCCTGTGAGGCCTGCCCGTACTTCTAGAGGTGCTCCTGATGTGCGTGTCCTCAGCTGGTCCTAAACTTTTCCCTCAGAGCCTGGCAGGGGAATGCTGAACTCCTGGTGCACGCACGAGATCTTCCGTTTCATTACCACACTGCCTTCCTTGCCTTTCTGAAAAACCTGGGCTTGATGGTAATAAAGGTTGGGGAGGAATTTGCATTAAATTACACTCTAAAAGTAAGGTAATGTCTAAAATCCCCCTAAAAAAGGAGCGTGTTCTTCAGATATTTCCTATTTTCAAAGTTAATTATACTTCTAATCTTAGCACCTCATCATACAAGCGAAAAAACCTCGATAACATGAAATTTGGTTGTAACGTTATTAGCAGAAGCCATTGTAAAGATGCCTGGTTAGCAACAGTGAAATGATGATTAATTCTTTTTTCTCATTAAATGTTATACAAAAGTTGAGTTTGACAGCTAGTAAACAGCCAAGTGTATTGCAACACTGCGGGTATTCCAGATATTTGGAGAAGCCCGTTTCCACTCCAAGTGTGTTAAAAATGGTAACAGTAATGCAGAGAGGTTTTGTTATTTGCTATGGACTATCTGGAGCTGTTCTATCACTGAAATATTTTGGATTTATGAAGGCCTTTACAACAGAAACATGCGAGTTCAACTTACAAATGTTTTAGGGGATTGAACAGTATGTTTAGTATTTTTTAATCTCTCTTCCTTAATGAAATTAGAGGAGGGACTGGAACTGGAGGGTATTCTGCTTATCCTAGTTTGCTGAGGTGGCAAAATATGAACACTTCAAGACCTGCTTACCTTAAAATTGAGTAAGCCCACTGCAGTTTCCACAAAGGGGATAAAATTCATTGGTTCTACAAGTGTTCGGCCTTTTAGGTGATGTAAGAATTTGTCTGAAAACTAAAACTAGACAGTATGAGCTATCAGAAAGACAAAAAAAAAAGAACAGTCTACATGTATATATAACACGTTACATTTTCACCTGGCTGTAAGAACGTCCCTCCCCATCCCAAAATCTTATAATTAAAAAATAAATAAATGTAAACCCAGCTTTTAACCAGGCCTACTATTCAAAACCACAGCATTCCCATACATTTCTAAGTTTGGAGTCTGGTTTGCAAAAAAAAATAATGTGGGTTATTTTAAAAAAAAATAAAAATCCAGGCTTAGCACCTCTCACCCTGGCTTAGTGAAATGCAAATCCACGGGCCCTGCAAAACAATGAAGTGCTGCTGTACCTGAGGTCCGATTTTGTTTCAGTTCCAGCACTGCCAGCACTGGAAATGCTCCCCAGCCTTCTAAGTGGCATCCGTATTATTCATTACGGCACCGTTACCCTTTTGTTCAAGAGGCTTTTCTTCATAATTTTTTAGCTTACCTAGGAAGGCCTTAAAAAGGAAGTTTAATTCTTTGAAGACCAAAGCTTGCCAATTTTTTCCATGAGACCAGTTCACAGCTAGCTCTGAGCTGCCAGTGGGGTAGCCCAAATTCCAAAATCTATCATCTGGAAACATACAAAAGCTCTTGCACAGATTTTTCCCCTTTCAAAAGGGAAAAAAAAAAAAAGGGGGGAAAAAACCCTCAGCCCTATATTGTAAATCTATTATGTCTGTCCAGAATGAGTAATTTGCACAGAGATAAACACATCCCAGGTAGGGCCAAAACATGTTAGTAAATAAAGACAAAAATAACATATGCATATATTTTAAATTTAAGGAATATTCAACTATTAATGGATATCAAAGGAAAGGGAATTTTAATCATCTCTCCATTCAGTCTCAGTTGGGTAAATCATATCTAAGAGATTTGCATAAATATAAACCATCAAAGACTTTTCATCTTCAAAGGGGGTTTCAAGACCCTATAAGCTTTGTACTGTAATCATCGCAGGTCACAACCCTGCAGGAATAAGGCTGCTATGGCAACATAAAAAACTAATGCTTAAGGCTTAGCATAATATTCTGACTAATAGAAAGGAAACTCATTTTAAAAGCTGGCAGCCTATTTACCAGAAGCTGGATTAGAGGTGTTATTTCCCCTTTTAGCTTCCCCCTACCGCCCCTCCCCAAAAGAAGGAAAATCTAATCACCCAGATCTTTTAAAAAAAAAAAAAAAAAGCTTTCCAGCAATTTGCAGTAACTTTACAATTAGGCCAAAATAAATCACAGCTTTCTTCAACGAAGAATTCTGCCCTTCCCATCCCTACTTTGCATTGTCACCGTGGCCCTCTCAGTAACTTTTCTCTGGAGAAGACAATTCCACCCAAAAATTGTTCAAGGAGAAAAAAAATCATCAACGCAATTCACACATGAGAGTGTACAGTATGACAGGTACAATAGTGACAGAAAACAGTAAACTTGATCCAGGCAAATCCAGAAAGTAATATAATGGCATCAGCATATGTTCTTTAGAGTCCAACCTGATTTGTATTTTTAAAGTAAAAGAAAAAGTAGAAAGCACTACCGTGTTTATATTTTAGGTGCAAATTAAAACAGCAGAACTCTCTTTTTTTAAAAAAATATTTTAAATGTCACAATTCTGAGGTTTTTGTTATCTTTTGTTTTCAAGGTAACGGAAAATAAAAGCACGTTTAATTAAATATTGTCTCCCTTCCTCTACCTCTTAAAAAATTCGCAATAAGCACCGATACAAAGGGTAATGAGTAGAGAAGTTTCAATTAATTTTTTTTTTTCAAAAGGAGACGATTAAATGTTTCCGGCCCAGTAAAGTGTTCATTTCAGGGAGAAAGGGGAAAAGAAAAAAAAAAAAAAGAAGGCGGAGGGAAAAAAAAAATCACCACAAAGCTTGGGGAGGGGATGAAGTAGCAAGGTCTCAGCAATTCTTTCAATTCCAGTGCACACCCAATAGTGTGTCGGGAAGAATGCACACTGGTCGGGATTTGTGGGAGAATTGTCCCACCACAAAGGAGGGAGAGTTACGCTTGTTATAGTCCAATAAGCCATGCCAGTCAAACAAGTACCCACACTAGGGACAAAAGGAAAGCAAGAGATTCTCACACAAAAGAAAACAAGTAAGCCCATCTTTTAGTTGTGCATCAGCCTCCAGGTTTTCTGCTGCACATAAATAAAAATGAAAGTGGAGGGAGGGGGGGGCTAGTATGCGTGGGGGAAAATAAACAGCTTCTGGGAGGCTGAAAAATCACGCCAGAGTGAAATTTGGGAGGATTGGGAAAAGAAGGCAGCGGTGTTAAGCGAAGCATGCTCTTTGTGTGCAAAGGTTGGGCTAAGTGAGAGGGAAGCAAAAGGCGAACCATGAGGCAGAAGTTCTTGGGGCTGGCTTGTTTTCCATGACAGAAACCAAAGTTAGGGAGAGGGAAGGTGAGAGAGGATGAGCGGACAAAGAGCCCCCTGCATCCCACCTCCACGCAAAACCGACTTGGTGGCAGCAAGGGCCCTGCCATTTTGGAATCATGAATATTCATTACCGACAAGTTCTGTCTAACACTTACATGGCTGTAAACCCTGAGAGGTACACTCTGGTTAATTTAATTAAACGCTGGTGGAAGGGGACGGTGAACCTTCTATCGCAAGCGGTGGAGGTCGAAGGGGCAGCGCCACGGAAAGGATGGGGCCCGTCACGTACCCGTCACGTTTGTGCAGTTGTACACTCATGCCTGGTCTCAGTGGTTTGATCAAGGTTAGGTGCTGAGATTAAACTAGATCTTAATACATCTGCCTGCCTTTCATCACAGCTTGCACGTGCGCTAGTTGCTCGGCTAGCCATTTGCAAAAATATAGAATTGAATAATTAAGCATTACTCCTTTACCGGCACGTTACAATAATAATGGTATATTTAAATGAATATCCCCCTTTTTTGACAATTTAAACAATTATAGCATAATTAGGCTTATTTCAAAGTTTTCTTAAGTAATTTGACATGCCAACCATTTACATTTCAGGTTTTTATTGGCTGAAAAGTCAGTCATGAAACACAAACACACCTGTCAGCAATTAAAAAGGAAGAAATAGAGAACTGTTCAGGAAATAATATCTGTGCTAATTAAAAACACTAGTTAAAAGCTTCCTGTTTGTTCCTCCAGTTGCCCCAAGGACTGACCTTCTCCCCAACCCATTTTTTCATATGTTGCTAACATGGTTTCCCCATCTCCTGCTTACAATGCGTGTAAGTAAGGCTCTTAGACAGAGACAGTCCTTTTGCCTGTTAGAATAGGTAGAGAAGAGTCAGGTACTCATGCTTCTATTTTTGACAGCATACTCTGACATCAGTACTGGTTCTTTGTTGACTATGTGAGAAATAAACCTGGTTTTCTTTATGAATGCAAGGTGTTCCATGTCTGCTTTTTATACAGCACATCTCACACATGTTTAAAGGGATGCATCTCCCAATTTCCTTAGCCAAGCAACAACATTACATGGTATCTGTAGCCTTCCTCATAACTCAGAGTCATTCACCTCTATGCCTGAGCGAAATTGGCTCAACAGCATCAGTCAAAATCTACTGTGTCGTTGGTACTCACCCATCTTATTTCTTCAACATTTTCAACCTTTGGCAGCATCATGCTTGAAGGAAGGGTCTTGGACTGCAGAAGCACCTCCAGATCTTCTTCTGCAAGACCGCTGGACACAGAGTTTATCCTAACACACTTCTCGGCATGGCCGAAGTCAAACTCTTCAAGGGTTTTCACAACAGTCAGTCGTGCTTCTCTCTATGAGTTTAGAGGCACAAGAAAAGAAAAAGAAAGCATATTTTCCAGTGACAGAAAAGCGCAATGAGCAGAAAACTTGTTGAAACAATGTGGGGAAAGAGCTAGACAGCCAGTATATTTGCCTCCCCAAAATGTCTGTCACTCTTGGACTTTTATTGAAGGAGTCATCACCAGTACCTTGCAATTTTACCTTCCTTATTTCTTTGATAACTGAAATGCTCAAGGGTTCTGTCTACACCACCACTTGTACAAAACAAGACTTTTGTGCCTCACTAGTGCAACCATGTCTAACAAACACAAATCTTTATACTGCTCACAGTGTGTTTCACTAACAGTCTGCACTCACAAAAATGGCACGTCATTAAATCTGCGTAAACCAATTAATTTTTTGTAATTCATCTCTCTATTATCTGGACGTCAGTAAGTACAGATGTAAATAAACTTCTTTAGGTTTGCTATATAAATCTTCCTTTTCTCCATATATCCAAAGTGCATTAAAGCCTGCAGTAGAGTTCACACCTCGCATGTGAAAACAACACAAAAACAGTTTGGACATTTTTCTTGAACCACATAAAAAGCTATTCTCCTGCTGGCACAAAATAAGATCTCTCCCTATTTTTGTGAATGTAAATTCACAAATCTGTAGAATAGTTGATTTGCATGAAGAATACTTGCATGCTTTTCTGAAATGAAACGCATTTCTTGGCCTGGAGAAGAAAGGGGTGGTGGTAGGGGGAAAGGAGGGTGCTGGGCTCCCTGCTTCCTGCCAACTGCAGTTTCAACCCCGAATTCCTTCCACTCGCCAATAGCCCCTAACAAATTCGCATTGTCAAAATGCACACTTATCAAAAAGTCATTTCATTTGTGAAGAGTTTTTATGGGGCTAATAAAACTTTAAAGCTCCTGAGTCACGAAGGTTCAGGAATGACTTTAACAATACGCAGTCTCTGAAAAGAGATGCTTTTCAAGAAAACAGGCAAACTCAAGGGGGAGGGAAAAAAAGAAATCATCAAAGTTAATATCCAGGCTCATACCAATCAGCAAGACAGCACATGACAGTAGATTTAAACCAGACGGATGCAAAGCTGTGCCGGCGAGCGGGGCAGAGGCGGTTTCCCAATGTGGTCTGAGTTAAGCGGTGTGAGGGAACAGTAGCTTACAGTTGTCAGGTCTGATCAGAACAGGGTCTCCCAGGCCAGCTTAAGACAGCTCTGCAGTGTACTGATTTACAGGGCCGGGACCCCCGATAATTAGGGTAAGTTTAGAGAAAAAGTAAGTGATGGCTCTTACTGGTTAAAAGGAAGGCATAATGAAGCAGAAAGTTAATGAAATCTGAAGCAAACAGCCTTCGGCTTGGGGCTACTAGCCGTGCTTCTCCGAAGGCTGGGAGCATATGCCCCTTAATCGGACAGACGGGAACAAGGCGCACACGTACGCATCCCTGTGCTGCGACTAAGGGGCACGCTCAGAGGTAATCTCTGGGAAATACAAGCCGAAACGTCTGAACTGCTGTGAACGAACTCTGGCTGGGGCCATTAGGAAAGCCACACAAAGATGCATGCCGTTTGCTACCAGCACGTCCAGCTGGAAGACAGCTCCAGCGCACGGCTGGCTGGAATGATTCTTCCGAATTAGGTAAAACGAACCATATGATGCCAATACCAGGTAATAAAAATTCCCCACGTTTTCCTTCTCCGACTGATGGGTTTCTGGGGCCCGGCTGAAAGTTTCTGGGTATGAGGCTGAAGGGTTGCTTAAAAACACACTCCAAAACAATTTATGCTTTTAATTAAAGGCAGATTATCACCGTTTCAGCACACACTGATCCAATTTGCAAAAGAAAGATCTCCCCAAATTATCCACTAAGGCAGCATCCAATTCCAACCAAAGGCACATCTCTAGCAAACTTACAGCCTAACTCGTTATGATTTTTTTCAGACTATAATAATGAGCAGTAGACCGCCTCATTAGCTATTTTTCTCCTCAGGCTGCAAACTCCCTTCCCAAAAAAGACAGATCGTGTCTTTCTAGGTATATTTCCATACAAAACACTTATTAACAGGCTGTTGCTGTTATCAATTTACATAAACTAAATGTGCAGCCCTCTGGTACATATCCCCAAAATAACCAACAACTTCACTGAATTTATACCAACCAACAAACATGGGGAGGGGGTTGTTGTTTCTTCCCATATTTTAATAGAAAATATGTTGCTATGTTAGTTAACACACCCATGCCATCTGTTGGGTTGAGAATTGATGCATTTTCTTAGAACCACTGCGTTTTAGATCTGTCTGCCTAGATACTCCAGTAATGGAAATGTTTCCCTTCCATGGTAAAATACTTGTAGTCACTACAGTTTCCACATCACGATTCAATTTATGTTTTTAATTGTGCGATAAACTGAGAGGACCTGGCTGACAAAGGCAGAGCTCGTGAGGGGGCTGACTCAGGGTCTAAGTTTCTTACAACGGAGAAAATCCTGCTGACGTTAGTGGGGTGTATCAGGTACCCAGGCTTCCAGTAAAACTTTTCATGGGTGAATAAAAAATGTACTAAAACCTCCGACTAAATGTACTAAAAACATGGAGGGAAGGGAGACACCTTTCTGCCTTATTACACAGGGAAACATAGATGCTATTCTTATTGTACGATCCACACAAAAGCTAAAATTTCAAGCTAGGCAAACTCCTTCAACGCTGTAACAGTAGAGAAATAAGAAGACCTTGATACAATAATATCTTTATAGGAGTAGATGCAAAAATAATCATGTTTTCCAAACACTATGTAAAGACCCTGCCAAGAATGGTCAAACTAGAATTTTAAGGAATGTTGAAATAAATGGTTTACCTTGTTCCTCACATAAGAACTCCATCATTAGATCATACTCTGTCACGAATGAATAGCTGATAAAGAAAAAGGCCTCGTTGTTAAGTAAGTGATTCCATCCCCAGGTAGCTTGGGATGGTGTTATCCCTATTGGATCCCACACGGGCCAGGTTCTTTATCAAGCTGAACAAGAGAGAAAGACAACAGAGAGCTTCATGCTAAACAGTGATAATATTAAAAAAAGCGCTGGAAAACCCATTGGGAGAAAACAATGCTGTTCAGGGCGCTACTTTAGCATCCCTTCTGCTTGACTCTGAGGAGGACACGAGAAACTGTTCACTAGCAGGCGCAGCTACGCCAACTGGAGAAGATAAAGGTTTCAGTGACGCAGCATTGCTGACGAATCCACCGCCACCCAGACACTGAAATTAAAGCTGGGAATACGTGTGTTGCTGGCCCAATTGGCACCCATTAAACCTAATAACTAACCATCCTCGCGAGTTCCTAGCTCTGAATTATCAAATCTGCAAAGAAAACAACATCCGTCCACTTTTACACTCCAGTGGAAGAGGTGGTCCCTCGCGGCGGGGCTGCGCGGTCTCGCCATCTGGAGAATAAATCGAGTGTGAAGTACAGTATAGTTTGGGACCAAGCTCCGTGGCAGCAGCCCAGCAGTTAGTTCATTAGTCCCAAACTTGCGGGGATTAGTGCGGTATCAGCTCTACTGTCGGATGGGATCAGGCAGGCAGAGCGCGAGACTCGGGGAAGGGGGTGGCGGTGAAGAAGGAGCCCCTCCAGCTTATTTGTAAAAACTACACAGTATAAGCACACCTAAAGAGGTACCTTTGGTAACAGCTTTACTACAGTCTCCTACTAGTCAAATCAGTGCCTTTCTTCCCTTCCTTCTTTTTTTTTTCTTTTATTTTTCTCCCTTTTTTTCTTTAAGTTGTATGTCAAGACATAGAAATTTCTGCTTTGAAACAGAAGGAATGTCACAGAGCTGGAAGCTCAACCACCCACTCACCCTGGACACAGTGTTAATACAGCTATAACAAAGCAAAGATGATCAGGTGAACAGAATTTTGGGGACTGCAATAGCAGATGGAAAAATAACATTTTCTTCTTTCTTTCCAAACTGGTATGATTTCCCACAAACTAGTTTTCAAGTGATTTCTAGAGGGACAAAATCACTGTTTTGCTTTATCTTTCTTGCCTAGTCTTAAGCTTTTTTTTTTTTTTTCTCAAGACCTTCAGGTCTTAATGTAAAGATAGTGGGTATACCTAAAGATATGCTTATGTATAGATCTTAACCTGTTAACATCTCTTGGTAATAATTCTTCACATGGAAATGTAAATATATGATGCGCTAGAATGGCAGGCAAGAACCTATCATCCTCATTACCGTAATAAGTTTGCATGTTTCAAATGGCAGAGGAAAAATTAATTACTTTAATCAAAATGCAAGTTATTTTTTGTGACAGGTGTGACATGGTAAAAACATACAATTATGTGCTAATGCTCCTTCCCTGGAGTGGTTTGTTTCCGGGACTTGACATTGCTGAATGCTTTGTCACTTGTATTAGTGTGTGCCCTACAAATGCATCCCTTGAATCATATTTTAAAGAACCTTATCTACATCGTATATCCATAGGGCTTTTTTGGGGGGACAATTGAGTTTCTGCAGGGGGAAAGCTTGACATTTTTTACATGTTTAATTCTCTATCAGTGAAGTGATTCCATGCAGAATGATACTTAGTTTTAAATTCACAGATGAGATTGGCAAGAGACAAGATGCATTACATTTGTTTTTAAGGAAACAAAGAGGATAGTGACTGCAGAGCAGTGTTTTTGAGAACAGGAGGTCGTTGGTTCAGGAGACCTGCCTTCCACCTTCCATGTGTCAGGTACTTGTGAGAATAAATCTTTGAAATGGCAAATGCTTACTTCTATTTAGTCTTGTTAGCCTGAAAAACTGCTGTAAAATATGTATACATCGCAAAGCTTTCAGGAAGCCATTATTAAATAATTTTTTACAGTTACCTTTGAGTAGATAACCAGCTGAGGAGTTTTTAAAGACTTAGGAACTTTTAAATCATATTGGTTCTATGGGGAACACGCCAAAGCCACCACATAATCCTAAAGGAAAGAAGGGGCAGGAGTGGGGACGAGGA